AATGCATTAAAGCTAGAAATCAACAACAAAACAACAGTAAAACATGCACACAATAGGAAGATGAACAACACATTGCTCAATGATCAATGGGTGATTGATGAAATAAAAGAGGAAATTAAAAGATTCCTGGAAGTTAATGAAAATGAAAAGATGACCAACCGGAACCTTCCATTAAGGCCAATTTCCTTAATGAACATTGATGCAAAAATACTCAATAAAATAATGACAAACCAAGTCCAGCAACACATCAGAAAGATCATTTACCACAACCAAGTTGGCTTCATCCCAGGCATGCAGGAGTGGTTCAACATATACAAATCTACAAATGTACTGTAGCACATTAATAGAAGCAAAGACAAAAACCACTTGATCATCTCAATAGATGCAGAAAAAGGAACCTTCGTACACTGCTCATGGGAATGCAAGCTAGTGCAAACACTCTGGAAAAAAATTTGGAGGCTTTTTCAAAATCTAAACATAGACCTGCCATATGATCCAGCAATCCCCCTTCTGGGGATATACCCTAAGGAATGCAACACAGGTTACTCTAAAGGCATCTGCACTCCCATGTTTATTGCAGCGCTATTCACAATAGCCAAATTATGGAAACAACCAAGATGCCCCACTACTGACGAATGGATCAAGAAAATGTGGTATTTATACACAATGGAATTTTACTCAGCCATGAAGAAGAATGAAATCTTATTATATGCAAGTATATGGATGAAATTGGAGAACATCATTCTGAGCGAGGTTAACCAGGCTCAGAAAACCAAAAATCGTATGTTCTCCCTCATATGCAGACTTTAGATTTAGGGCAAATACAGCAATGTTGTTGTACTTGGGTCACATGACAAGGGGAGAGCACATACGGGAAGTATGGGGATAGGTAGGAAACCCAAAACATGAAAGTGTTTGATGTCTCCATTCCAGAGGAACTAATACAGAAACCTTAAGGCGACAGAGGTCAACGCGAGAAGGGGATCAGGAACCAGTGTAAAGATCAGTTAGAGATGAGTCAACTTGGGTTGTAGCACATTTGTACATGAAAGCAATGCTAGGAATCTCTTCGTATAGCTATCCTTATCTCAACTAGCAAAAACACTTTGTCTTTCTTATTATGCTTATGTCTTCTCTTCAACAAAATTAGAGATAACGGCAAAACAGGATCTGCCTGGAAGTGAGTGGGGAGGGGGGGCAAGGGGAGAGAGATGGGACACGGGACAGGGGGGAGAAATGACCCAAATAATGTATGCACATGTGAATAAATGAATAAAAAATATCCTTAAAATTCAAGTATTTCAAAAAATCTTTGTTCTGAGGACCTTTTTTGTATGTAACTGAGAAAAAACTGAATGTTTAGAGTTGAGTGTTTTCACACAAGCCTTTGTATCAGAAAAAAGAGAAAGATTGCTTTATGCATTTCCTCAGTTTAACATCTTACCAGATGGCAGGTCAAATGAACCACCCTTCAAACCTGATTGGCAGTCTAGGGTAATGTCTGCCTTCTGTAGTCATGAAGAGCAGCAACCTTTATTTTTATTTGCAAATTCCCTTTTGTTTTAAGGAGGCCCTGGGTCTTCAAAGCAAAACAAGGAGTTGCCTCAATAGCACTGGGTGGAGTCTTGAATAGTTTTCCTTTGCTTCACCAGATCTATTCTTCTTTCCTCTCCACTAGGCCCCCATGCCCAGGGAAGCTGATCCATACACACTCAGCAATGGACTGCCTTGTCTTCTGGCTTCTGATTGGGGTTAGTCCATACAGAACTGCTAAGAGATAGGAAGGAGGGAAAAATGAGGTGAACTTACTCCTCAAGTGCTACTCAGAGTTTCCTTCATCTTTAAGTACATTTGCAGCTCTTGGCAGTCAGTTGGCTTGGCCCATCTCTGCCTTGCTCTGTGTCTCTTATTCTCTTTGTGTAGATGTCTTCCCCCTCCCATCACCCATCATGTCTGTTGCTAGCATCAGGGATTCAATCATCCTTCATGATTAAAACAGAATATTATTATTTAAGTAGTAATAAGTCTACTTACAGCTGTAATTTTAATGAGAGTTTTATGATCTTTAGGGATACTCTAGTTTAACTATGATGAAAGAACAATGATATCTCTCTTCCCAGGTCAGATCTTTAATTTTTAATTTTACTGATTAAAAGAGAGACTTTTAAAAGAATTTTTATTTTGTTCATATGTGCATACAATGTTTGGGTCATTTCTCCCCCCTTACCCCCACCTCTTCCCTTACCCCTCCCCGCCACTCCCTCCCTTGCTACCTGGCAGAAACTATTTTGCCCTTATCTCTAATTTTGTTGAAGAGAGAGCATAAGCAATAATAGGAAGTACCAAGGGTTTTTGCTAGTTGAGATAAGGATAACTATACAGGGAGTTGACCTGCATTGATTTCCTGTACATGTGTGTTACCTTCTAAGTTAATTCTAAAAGCGAGACTTTAATAGATTATATACTTAGTTTACTATCACATAGCTGGTGAAACTAGTATTCAAATTCAGATCTTATTATCTGTCCAAAATACCATGCCACCTCACTCCCACAATCTTAATAGAAGTACTTGAGTCCATAATATATAATGCTTTCTCCTCAGTTAATAATTCTAGGAAGGATTGTGAGCAAAATGACTTCTAAGGCCAGCAATACAACAGACCACTTGCCCAAATTTTCCATTTTTACTCCTCTATCAGTATTGCTTTCAGAAGATAATTCCTAAATCTAAAATGGAAGAAGGGTAGTAGAGAGGGCTTACATACAGAAAGTGTCTATCTCATAGGAAAATGCAGATCTTTAAATTTTAAAGGGTGGATAAATAATATTCAGTCTATTTACTGCTAATCTTTATTAGATTACATTCCAGAGATTAATATTTTCATTCATTTGTTCCACCTGCATTAAGATGTTTTGGATGAACTTTATCTTACAAGATTGTGAATGCAGTGATGAGTTAGTATAGGTCTTGGCTTCAGAGGCTTGCAAGCCTAACTGGAGTGATTAAAAATGAGGGTCTAATTTGACATGCAGAAGGTTTTATGGTTTTGAAAGCATGATCTATTGTGATCACACAAACAGGACATGTCTTATTATTTCTAATATGTGGAAGTAGAACCCAAAGGTCAGACTTTCCCAACTGTACTCTACCGGTCTGTAGCATAGGTGGGACGTGAACCCAACACTTTCTGGTGATACTCTGCCAAAAGAAGTGGAAATGTGTTGTAAGTTATCATTTCTATACATTGTCTCATTAAACTATTTTAAGATTTTCAAGGAAAGGAAATTCAGACTGGTAAGATGGAAGGCAGCTTCTTTTAGGAGATGACATTGGAGCTGGGTCTCTAGTGCTTCCTAACTGGGGTCCACAGTACCCAGTGTATGATCTCAAAGTGGAGCTGAGGAGGTTCTACTGTGGAAGAGTTTTCCCAGAGCAGCCTTCATGTCCCTGTTTCTCAGACTGTAGATGAAAGGATTTAACATGGGGGTCACTGTTGTGTACATCACAGTTATCACTGCATCTTTAAGACTGTAAGTTGTTAAAGGTCGGAAATACATGCCCATGACTGTCCCATAGTACAAAGAAACCACTGTCAGGTGAGAACCACAGGTGTTGAAGACTTTGAGTGTTCCCTTAGTGGATGGAACCTGTAAGACTGTGGTGAAGACCCGAACATAGGAGACAATGATGCATAGCAAAGACACAGAGAAAACACCAACCCCCATGTACATCATTTTCACATTAAAGTGGATGTCGGAACAGGACAGCTTGAGCAAAGGGGTAATGTCACAGTAGAAGTTGGCTACTTCCTTGTTGTCACAGAAGGACAGATGAGCTGTGAGCAGAGTGTGGGGAAGCGAATTGGTGTGTCCAACCACCCAAGACCCAACAACCAGCAGGACACAGAGCCAGGTGTTCATAATTGCTGTATAACGAAGTGGGTGATTGATGGCCATAGCTCTATCAATTGCCATTGCAGCCAATATATAGCTGTCTGTATTAGCCAAGCCTATCATGAAATACATCTGTGTCAGACATTCAGCAAAGGAGATGGCTTTGCTGCCCATGAGATGGTTGATCAGTGTTTTGGGAATAGTTACAGATGAGAAGAAGATGTCAACAAGGGAGAGGTTGGCAAGGAAAAAATACATGGGGTTGTGAAGGTGGATGTCAGAGAGAATGGCTAGGATGATGAGCATGTTTCCAATTAATGTGACGGGATAAATGAGCAGAAAGAGGATGAAGATGAAATCTTCCTGTTTCTGCTGCCCAGTAACTCCCAGAAGAATGAAATAGGTAGTGGAAGTCTGGTTTTCTTCTCTCATGGCTCCTTCAGCAAGAAAATGGAAAGGAATTCAGAATTATTAGTTTGTTAGTACAAATACTGTGTGTTATGACATTCCAAATCCAACATATTTTTTAAGAGGTCAGCTTTTTCTACAACTGTGTTTATGAAATTCAAAGGTATGCCTTGGTTTGGGAAAACTCCCTGTTGGTAAATGGGACTAATCATCATATAATCCTTGACATTTTTATCTAAGTAGCAAGCAATTAATCAGAGATGCTCACTTTCCCCGACAGCATCACCCTGCAAACATCATAGATTTAATCATTTCATAATTTAAGTTTTCACTCCATCACCTTAATCCTTTATTACAAACTATAGAGAAATAAACATGGGGGAAAATATAGTTTATCCATTCCTTCATTCAATATCTAAGACATATTCCTTACTTTTCAGGACTTTACAATTTCAATGAAAAGTCAGAATGACACATTACCAAGCATCATTGTTCATTACAAGGAAAAAGCAATACTTTGGGGTCTTTGACAAAGTATTCTGGTACAAGGAATCTGTCAATAGGACTATCTTGGAATTTAGGATCATTCTATTCATCAATATTTATTGATATCAGCGGATGACAGGTGTCTACACTGGCTTGGAAGATATTTAATTCACAAGGTTTCCTGGATTTAGGTCCTACCAAAATGAGCCCAGTGAATTTTCTCCTCAGGCGTTCCATTTGTAAAGTTATTTCTACCACCTCCTTGCATAATCTTTATTTTTTGGCAAACCCTCATATATGTATAACCACAATGGTGTTTTTTGTGGTCTTCTCTTCCTGTTCTTGCTTTGGTTGATTCATGAATTCCATAGTTGCTTCAATTACTGTTTGATAAACTCTCTTTCTGTAGGCTTGTTCTCTTTTCTCCATATTTCCATATTCAATCCTGAGAATGTGGCTGGCCAAACCCCATACACTTGCAACACCAGCCTATAAGTGCAAGATTTGGGGAGAGAGAAAAGACATATATTGTTCATTGTGACAACTCCAGGTAGATTATTGCGGAGTATTGTTCATTTCATGTACTGATCAGTTTGTGCTCAATATTCTTTGAGTTGAATCCTGGTTTATTTCTTGCATTCCCACATGTGAGATGCTAGTAAGCACAAACAGCCAATTTATCTCTTACCTGTACATCTTATGTTTTTAAATCTTCATTTAAAGTAACTATTACATAGCAATACCTTTTAACTTACTGTTTCAGTGCTTTAGCTTAGACTATCATATTTTTCTCCCTGAATATTGTAATGCTCTTCTAACTGCTTCACCAGAGGTTCCATCTTCTTTGATTCATTTTGTACTGTAAGACATACTAGTCATGGCAGAATCTACTTGCTGTTTGACCAAATCTATGTTGTTACATTTCCCAACCTTTCTTGCAATGAGGTGTGTTTATGTGACTGAGTTCTAGACAATACAGTTCTAGTCTTCCTACACACTCTCCTCTATGCCTATTGTATGCAAATATGCAGGAAGTTGAGTGTGATTAGATAGTGACAATGTAGGATGAGCCTGTAGCCCTTAGTTCTCCACATCCGGAAACGCTGCCCACCACCAAAAATACCCACTTGGACTATTACATAAGAGGAATGTATTCTTTTATTATGGGATATCTGGGATATAATACATAATTCACAATTTTTTCTATCTCTTTAAAAGTTAATTAAATTTGTAATGAATTCAATCACCAGTTTTCACTGTTTCTTTTAGTACATATGCAAATTATGTGTTAGACTGAGGGATTTAAGTCTAATTATCTTTGCCACAACTAATTATTTTGTGCTTTCTTATCTGTGCATATAAGGTTTTGCCTCTTAAGGTGCCTTTCCTTTTTTCATATAGCATCATAATACCTAAGGTTCAATGGGTTCAGTAAATCTGGAGGTCTCAGAAATTATGGTTAACTCATAAGACACAGAAATGTAAGTATTCAGTGGTGGGGCTTGTGGCACCATGCCAGACTAACTCATATTAACAAGTCTCATTCCTATTGAAATACATAGAAGTGATAAACATAAAAGAGAAAAAAGCATAAAATGCTTAACTAAATTTAAAGAAATATGTGGGAATACCTTTGTATGAGAAACAAAAAGAAAGCTGAGGGCAATAATTGTAAGCTATATCTGATGCTGTGGTGGATCCTTGGGTTTGTAATCAGGAATTACGTGGGCACCAAGGTTGAGGTATGGTGTGTTTGTTCTCCTTTGTTACAGGAGTTGTGATCCCAGAGCCACATGAAACATGGAGATTAATGGTCTCTGTATAAAACACTTAAGGTGAAAAGAACAATAGAAAAAAGAACAACAACAACAATAATAGTAAAAGAACAATAGAAAGAATTTTGCTATAAAGAATTGGAATGAAATGAAAAATAGTGAGAGAATTCACAGAAAATATGATTGTTTACAAAGAAAACCCAAGGGAATCTCTAGATAAGCTAAAATTTCTTCAAGTTTGTTTACTAAAACCAATATGTAAAAAAATTAAAATTATTCTTATATTTAGGCAAAACAGAATTAGAAAATATAATTTATAAAAGATTCCTCATTCAAAATAGCAATAGAAAATTTTGAGGAATCTAGATATAATTTTAACAAAGGAGGGCTTAAAGAAATTGGGGGGATACAGAATGTTAATGCAAAGACTCAATATGAAAATGTCTTATTTCTTCCAATTAATCTCTGAATTTAATGCAATCCAAATCTATATGAAATAGTTTAAAAATATGGAATTAACAAACTGTTCCAAAAACTCATGACATATTATAGAGTCAATAAGAACCTAGACAATTTTAGGAAGAGAGAGGACTTGTCAAATCTGTTAGGGTATGAGGCCGGCCACCTTCTGAGAGGACAAAGGACACTCGAGACAAAGGAGGTCACACGGTGAGGTTTATTTCTAGCCGGCTAGGGTCCGAGCATCTGCCTGACGCAGCAGGTTTCAGCAAGGACCCTGAGAGAAAAGTTTAAGCAGATCTATACTCTTTAAAGCATCAATCATCGTCACATAGGAATTCCTATGGGGTCACATTATGGGCATAGGAATGTCCCTGGGGTCACATTTTCCTGATCTTGCCCACATCCTGATCTTGCCCACATCTTGGTGGTGGAGTAATATTATTTATTGGGAACTGGGGAAACACCAGAGGCTTACTTATCAGGTTACAAGGAATGTGTTCTCCCATAAATGAGGGGCTAGTAGTGGAATAGAAACCTAAGGTTTAGATAAGAACAGCAGGGAGTCCTGCTTTGGAAAGTTTATTTACAAGTGGAGACAAAGAAAGGCAGGGATGGGTGCTTATCTCTGCATGGTGACTTTCATCTCGGTCCGAACTCTTGCATGGCTCTAATGAGCAATTCCTCACAGCTCTGTCCGAGGTTACAGCTTTTAATTGACAATTCACCATGTTTTACAACCCTGTTTCAAGGCTATCTTCCTCTTCACGAGGTTACCCAAAGGTTATGCCAGTTATAGCTGATTTCTAGGCTAGGTGGGCTGCAGTTAAAGGCCTCAACAATCAAGAATAAAAATGGCTTATTGTAGTAATTCAAACATTGGCCAAGTCCTGGCAGAGAGACTTATAATTAGAGCAACATAACAGACTTAAGGAATTAGAAAAAAGTAAAGCTTTTGTTAGATGGCGGTACATGACATGGGTTGGCTTAGAAGTAAGCAGAGAAAAGGATGGACTGACTTGCAAAGAGTCAAGGAAATCTGATTACATAAATATGAAAAATAATACATAAAAATAATTCCTAAAGAACTGTGAAAACAGCTTGAAGAAAAATATTTGTATGATATCAGGGTAGGAACTGACTTTTTAAACAAGGCACAAACAACATAAGGAAAATTGAAAATGAGTGATCTTTGACCACTTACAACCTTTGTATGAAAAAGACATAAAAAGAGAAGGGAAAGGCAAACCATGGACTAGAGAAAGGAATCTAGTACACCCATATTTCATAAATGTTTAACACTCAGCACACAGAAGAATCTTATACACTATTAATAAATAGGCAGAAAACACATTGGGAAATAAGGGCAACAGACTTGTTATTTTTCTTCTCCAGGTAATTAATTTTCCAGTGACTCTGCTAAATAGGCCATGTTATATCCCATTTTCTAATGGACACTTGATCAGTGTCTGTGCTCTCTATTCTTTTGAATAGACAAGTCATAGAGTGGAAATTAACAGTCAATACAAAAAAATGAAAAAAAACAATTGAATTGAAGACAAAATATGATTTAACATCTTTTATCCTGGAGTATGTATATAATATATAAAACTGGCCATTTCCAGTTTTGGAAAGAAACAGATAAATTAGATTTAGCATTTGACAAAAATTAACCAATTTGTATAAAAGCTTTAATTCATACATCTTTAACCCAGCAATTATGCTATTAGAGAAATTCTAGCACATGAACTCCAGAAGGAAAATCACAGAGAGAAAATTAGCACTGTGAATAAGCACAATGGAAAAATTTACCATCTTTCATCATGGAATATGTCAACTTAAAACCTAACAATTTCAAGTGTTGGAACAAAACGAGGAAATTACTACTAGACTTGACAAATAATAAACTTATATATGAAAGTTGTAATTCATATACTTTTGACTCAATAATTATACTTTCTGATGATCCTAGAAAAACTCTAGCACCTGGATGCAAGGAGACACAGGGATGTACTATCACTCAGCAAACCTAAAAATGGCCTACCCACTGCGGAATGGACAAGAAAATTGTGCTGCTTTCTAATTAGGCATTTTGATATAAAAGTAACACATTGGAATACAGAAAAGTGTAAGTCCTTTATAGGAGTATACTATCAACAACAGAAGAGTGGCTATCTTGTGAGTGAGAGCCAGAAAAATAACATTTTAGATGGAAACAGAAAATTTCAAGTGTGTCTGTAACACTTATTTTAAAATGGAGCAAATATGAACTATGGAGCAAATATGAATCTATTTATTAAATAT